AGGTCGACCTAATAGGGCGTATTGCTAGCAATGTCGAACTCCATTGCTAACAATCCCTTTCCCACCTTGCCCCTTAATTCGACTGTCAGATTCTACCCATTAATGTTGAAATATAAACATACAAATAGCGCAGTTACTTCACGACAGAAATACGAATAGGACAGATATACCCATTCAGTCGACTTCTATACAAAGTCAATATCTCCCATATTCCTTGGACAAAGTTTTCGAGTTTCATGAATATTAGTGCCGACATTTGATAGTTACACTATTACGGGTACATCGATAGTTACATCATGTATATTTAAATTTGATAGCAATGGGTCGTACTAAAATCTTAGCCAGGCGATTGGAATTAAAGGCAGGTAGGTAATGGCGGAATCTTGTAGCCTGAAATCCGTGGTTATGTTAATTGATGTAAATATCTGAAATAATTCAACGAAATTACGTGCGGATTGTGGTCCCTCGCTCACTGGGGACTTCTGTAACCGACTATCGAGTAACATTTAATACTTACGTCTGGTTACCGTAGCCCCCTCATAAATATGGAAATCCAAGCGATTCTGTCTATTATTCTGCCGTTCTAGTGTGAATTTCCTAAATTTCTCTTAAAATAACTTTTGTGAATAGATTAATATTGATATCTTTAAATTAAAATTGAGTAAAATGAAAGTATTATAGAGACAACTTTATGCTAGACTAGTCTTTACACGTGGCTACTTTTGTGTAATGGGATATGTTATGTCCTCAAGAATGGCAACGCATGGGAGGTATCATGGGCGAAACAGTATACTCTGTTATGTCCATGGTACTGCTCATGTCTATAGGCGACGGTTACCACTTTCCTTCAGATGGGCCGTCTGCTTGTTTGCCATTCTAAGATGTATAAAAAAAATGTTAATTGACTAATTTGTAATCTTCTCCTTCTAGTCTTACTCCATCCTAAATATTACGGGTTGGGAGGAGGGATTGTTAGTAATTATTATATTACTTATTACCAGTCTCATTATCAGTAATATACCCTATCAGATCGACCTCAACTTGGTCCCCCCTGGAAACCATCATGCTGAATACCAGGTTTATTCATCACGATGGGCTAACTGACTTGAATTTTTATTCTCACCTATCACCATTCACTGGTGCCCCGCCAGTGTATACAGATAGCGCAGGCGGGGTTACCATTCCATTATCACCCATTAAAAAAGAAATAGTATGGGTATATCAAATTTTATAACGATCAGTTGAACCGTTAAGATTCTAAAAGGCAACAAATAAACAAAGATACTTACATTCAGGTTAAGTTAAAATTTGACCGATCCGTGTACCGAAATTCAAATAAAAAAGTAGTTAATTAGAAATAATAATTAAAAACGTCTGCAATAAAGAAGCAGGTGTGTAGGTAGTATTTACTTACAAAAGTTTATTCATCACGTTAATTCTCGATTGTGTATTTAAAATAAAAAAAAGCCGATCAAGTGCGAGCCGGACTTGCTCAACGAGGGTTTCCGGTATTAGGATTTTTTCCTTTACTTATGCTACATGCTTGCTTCTTGCCAAATTTCAAGATTGTAGGTCAACAGGAAGCATCCTATAGGTTTTGATTCCCTTTGCAAATATAAAAAAATACGATATAAATAGAATATAAATGGCCGTATCGTTTGATTGCGTCGATTTAGAAGCTTGATTTTTTTCTCTGCTTTAAGAGATTGCAGATCTGAGTATAATATATTAATTTCTACTTGATACCTTTACGCGTTCCTAAGAAAAAGGGTTCTGACAGAAGGATGGACAACGAAGTGATCCTATAAGGCTTCCTTTTTGTCTTTTGGAGATACGGTACTCTAAAATAGTAGTTTTGCGTGACAAAATAACGATAAACTCATAAACTTTCGCGCTTCTAAAAGTTGTAATATAAAGTAAATATTAACAGGGATTAAGGTCAATGCAACATTTACTAAATTACTTTAAACATATAAGTTAGAACAAAACGTTACACACATACACACACACACGTATGCAATATTTTATGTATTATTTCGCAAAAATAAAGGCCTCGTATATCAAATTTCATTAGACGTTTCCATTTAGACAACTTAATCATGATTGAGTTACATGCAATCAAATAACCAACTTTTACATTTACAACATTAGAAGTATTTTGGACTTCTTAATTCTTAGCTTTAATTTGTAAACCAATTTGCTAAAGATAATGATAAAAATATTAAATAATAAATAATTTAAATAATGCCTAAATATATTTTATTTTAAATAAATCAATATAAAAGTGAAGGTAGATTAAAGTAATAATCCACAAAGTACAAATATTTCGAACAAACCCACTTGAGCAATGAACTAATACTCACAGAATTCTCGTAAAATGTTTTTAATAAATTTGCACTAAACAAAAGTTAATTAAATATTAATTAAAATCAAAGAAAGTAAGGAAAGAGGATTTGTTCGTTAACTCCACCTTTATATAAACAAGAAGTACCTAATTAAA